GAATTAAAATTCGGTTATTTTGGATCCGATCCGAAATCCGAATTAAATTAAGTTGATTTACAACGTCTAATAAACTAATACGATAACATAAAATGGTAGTCAAGATTAACATAAATTATTTAACATCAAGACTAATTAAATTGTTCAAAATAAATAGTACAACTTAAAAGCAACACTAAGAGTTCACTACAACAAAAAAGACTAGCAGGAACAACTTAAGAAGAAAAGTAGCAGCAAACAGCAGCAAAAACAGCAGCAAACAGCAACAAAATCAGCAGCAAACAGCAGCAAAATCAGCAACGAACAGCAGCAAACAACAGGAAAAACAGCCCACCAGCATTCTTTAATCAAGGCAGAAGCTTAGTCATCTAAAACCTCAACTATTTCAGGCTCAGCAATGGATATCTTGCACAAATCTTGATATTGAGAGAAAAAATAAAGAACAAATAATAATTAGAATTAAAATCAATAACAATATTAATACATAATTAAAACAAGAAAATAAAAAGATTTAGCAATCACCTTCTTCAAGTTGCTCAACTTCCTCCAAACATCAACATTACTTTCAGCATTATTAGCTTCAACATTATTAGCTTCAACCCCCCCTTTGCGTGAGACTCGTGACATACTGCAACTCTGCAAGTATAATTACGAATAAATTAAAAAAAAAATAGTTGAAATTCAACAAAAAAAAACAAAAAAAAAAACAATAGAAGAAGGGTAGCAAATTACCTTAAGTGGTTTAGGATCGTGAGATCAGAATAAGGAATGATTTGATTTAAATTTTCATGAGATGAATAGATGATGAAGAAAGAGCGCTTGATAAGTTGAGGGAATGAGGGAGTCAAGAGGCGTTGAGGTCTTGAGGAGTAATGAAGACTGAAAGAGGCAAATTTAGGGTTTTTAGTTATATAGTCTGTATTTGGGCTAAATTTTAAAGGCCCAATTATAAACTACAGCAAACCATTATATAAATGTTGGTAACTAAATTTCGGTGTTCGGTTTTAATTGGATCCGAATAGGGTCAATCCGATCCGATCCGAAAATCCGAATTTTCAAAAAATCTCAATCCGATCCGATCCGATTTAAAGTTCGGATCCGATCCGATCCGAATTGATAATTCGGTTTGGATTGGATTGGATTTCGGTTTTTATCCGAATTATGGACACCCCTACCAACCATAACTTATAAAAAAATGGAGGAGTATAATATAATAAAATGATTTTGTTAAGCTGTTCTTATAAACGATATGTATATTTGTAAGATTTATACAAATTATCCTACCAAAATTGTTGTTCCTATTTTAACTAAAATAAATTTGAAGTCGGAGGAAAAAAAATATTATTATATTATTATGATAATCTTAGATGATGATATATGTCAATAACTTACTTTTAAACTATGTTAGTATATTTGTAACTAAAATATTTATAGTATATAAAATATACGTTGAAAAAAAAAATTGAGTATGATTGGATTAAATGTGTTGTCAAAATGGAAATAAGTATCATGGTAGGTTATAAAATGGAAGTTATTAAAATTTGGCAAAAAAAAAAAGGAAAGAAAAAAAGGTAGGAATTTTTTTTAATAGCATCGTGACAAGTGTCACTTTAGGTTCGCTTTTAATAAAGGTTAATTGATAAATCATCATCTTATTCATGATTAAAATGGATAGTATATATACGTAGGATTTGCTTGGAGAGCAGTAAATTTTAAAGTTAGATCATTCTAGAATAATACAAGGAAATAATTCGTATTCACACAATATTCGTAACACATTTTTGTTCTAAAGTTTGCCATTTTAGAATCTAATTGCAAGCCATTTGGGATATACATACTTTTAATTTACTACACTCTCTAAATATAAAAGATACGAATGAATTCGGAGTATTTATCATATTTAATTTGTTTGACAAAGCCACGATTGATTTTCGAGCTCGAACTTGTTACTTGAAAAGCAAACAAGTAACAAAATTCATGAGTTAAACTCGAACATGCTAAATGTGTTGAGTTCATGAACAAATCCATATGTGAGTAAAAATATTGTCCCACATTTAAAAAAAATAAAAATAAAAAAGTTATGTCCACTTTACTAAGGAGCTAAATTATTTTATATGAAAAACTCAAACATTGAAATTAAGTAATTTTATTAAATTTAGCTCGAAAAAGCTAAAACTCGACTCAGCTGGACTTCGTTATATCTCTGTGTAGAGCTATGTAAACAAAGGGGTGGCACCGTGGCAGTACAAAGATCAAGAAGGCAAAACCACTTCTCATAATTGATAATTCAATAGTGAATGCATTATACTCCCTCTTTTCTTTGTTTTTTTTTTTTTTTTAAATTTTTTTTTTTATAATGCATCACTTGAGTTTTAACACTTGTTGAGACACAACTTTGACCATTATTATCTTCAATTAGATATTAGTAAAAATTATAATAGTAGACACTGTAACAAATCCAACAATATATTACATGACCATATCTATAAATTATATAGTAGTAAAAAAATAAAGTCAAATATAACATATAAATAGTACAAATTTTCAAGTGATGCATTTAAAAAAAAAAAAAAAAAAAAAAAAAAAAAAAAAAAAAAAAAAAAAAAAAAAAACGGAGGGAGTATTTGGTTTAAGGGGTAGCCGATGCAGGTTCCTGATTGGCACAAGGTAGCTTTCGTGCCATAATTGGTCGAGTATTATTGGGATTTTTTAACATACAAGGTTGGGCCATCAAGCAGTTGGGACTTGAAAGTATTGGGCCTTTTTGCTGGATTTTACATGCCCAAGCCTATTAACAGGATTAACAAATGAAAATCTCATTTCCTAGTTTTACGACCAACTAAATTTTAGCAATCAAGTTTAGTTGGTAAAATATTGGAGTAAGTTATGTATAATGGGCTAACCGCGCAATTAAGTTTTGAGAAAATTTTGCGTAAAACGGACTCATGTGAGACCGGGCTCAGCAACAAAAAGGCGCAGGTTTAAGAAACCCGATCAAAGCCCGCGCACCAACATTTTATAAAATCGATAATATTGTCTTATTCTTGATAAAAATTATCTTATTCCTGATTAAAATAGTCTTATTCCTGATAAAATTATATTATTCCCGACTAAAATTATTTTATTCCTATAAAAATAATGGTATTCTTGACTAAAATTTTCTAATTCAATACCTGACAATAAACATTTAATGAAACTAACAATATAATGAAATTGATAATCGACTACTAAAAAAAATTATCACCTCAAAGTCACTTCAATAATGGAGGAAACCAATTAGGCATTTTTTTCATTCTCCATTAATCTAAAATCAAAAAATTATATTACCCAAATAGAATATGAAATTCATGAGAAGTGAGTCGAAGGGAGGAAATTAGATTCCTTCGTCCATTAAGGTTTCGGAAGAGGCTTGTTCTTCGTCCCAACTTCGACAGAATACTCTTCATTTCGCTGCTATCGGATGAACTCATATCATCTAGGGTTGGAGATTCTAGGGTTTTGGATTGAGGTTCGAGAGGAGAGAGAGTAGATTTAGGGGAGGGTTGGAGGAGATTCTTCATCGCTGGAAAGTTGAGAGGTGCAGGAGAGGAGGCAGAGAGTGGTGGAGGATCTGGCCGCCGCCATTGATAGGCGGGAAGAGAGAGAAAGAGGAAGAAGGAGAATGAAGATGGTGGATTTACGTGAGTCTGTCTTACCCAAAACTTATAGTTAGTAAGTTATGCATAGCGACACAAGAAAAAAAGTGTCTTTGTGAGCTAAAGAAGAATTTGAAAATTGATCTAACATTAGTAACAAATCTTAGTTTATTTATTTATTTATTTATTTCAAGAAAATCGCATGGATTAAATGAAAAGATTGCAAATCTGAATAGGCAATCATATATTAAATCAAGGAGAATTAGTATTTTAGCATGGCTTGGTACCAATACTTCCTCCTCTTTACAATGAAGTGGTTACAACCTTACAATTTACGAAGAAAAATCAAGTAGTGAGAGCAAACTAGCAAAGGTAGAATAATTGAATTGCAAATGAATCACGAATAGCAGTTGTGGAGTTACTATATTGATTAAGGGTTTGTTGTTATTGACTGAACTGAACTGAAATGAATATTTTATAAGAGAAGGAAATTAGGAGCTGAATTGAACTGAACTGAACTGAACTAAACTGAATTTCAACGTATGAGAATAGACCCTTATAAGTTATTTCTATAAACATTTAGTAATTCCAGTAATTCCATCAAAAAAATATAAACATTCAGTAATTAAATTTTAATTTAAAAACAAACTTAATAAATTAAATGATAACTACTTGCATATGATTGGAGCAAAAACTTAATTGCTAAGATAATGACGATTCAAATTAAAAGATAAAATAGCTAACCGTTAGAGCTACTAATAGAGTATAAAACATATTCCTGAGTCTCAACTATAAGTTTAACCTTTTGGTTGAGTTGGTCCTTTAACGGCTACGTTGTTAATGAATTGTGTACATCAAAACTTTACTAAATCCTATTACGTTATATAAATAAACAAATAATTAATGGCAAATAGCATAAACTCCACGAATTGATGTATATGTAAAGGTATATAATCTTGTCAAGAAATAGAAGTATATAAATCGAGTTAACGACCAATGGTAGATCGACAATAATTCACTATATATTAATCCCCTCTTTGGCTCTTTCTTAAGGTACCAGAGCTAACCACTACTCAATAAATTAATTTAAAGATAAGCTTAACATTTACAAACATAAACATTACAAACGTGGACCTCATTAAAGAAATAAATCAATTACATGAGCAGCCTTAGAGATAGTGAATTAGTTTATAAACTATTCCAATTAAGCAATTGTCTAATCTTTAATCGTCACACCTCACACCCATGATATTCCAAACAATATCTCATGACTCATGAGTCATGAGGTACATCATGTATGACATTGAAATATACATATACAATAATATTATTATACAATTAAAGAGCAAAAAAAGCGCATGTTGATTAGTTGAATTAATCCTAAATTGACCCAATTTCTCTGAACTTTTACAAGAGCTTGATAAATTTTTGGTAACGTCACCCTCTATACCACTTGTATAATACAACAAACAATTAAACAAAGCCGATGACTATGACTTATGTACAACTTACAACAGAGAAAAATGTGCTATACATGACACTACTAAACATTAATCTCACACTTGACACTTCTAAACACTACTCGCAAACACAATGTTAGTTGTTTCTAATGTTTTTAGACATCCATTAAGATTTTTGATGTCTTAGGAGTTTCCCTCGAGAAAAGAATATCCTATTTTAGCCAAGTGCTTTCGCCCCGTCTTTTGTCAAACATGGTGACACTTTTGTCGTTGTTCACGTGAGGGACTCTTAACTTTATTTTCCATGTAAAAGCATCATCAATGGCTCAAGGCTACAGCCACCTTTGCAGAATCCACCCTCTCAAAAACATCATTCATTGACTTTCTAGAAACCAACCTAAAGAACCAACTAGAGGAATCCCACAAATTCTATGATTATATCAACATTTTCTTATCCAAAATAGTGGGTCCCTTCCTGCACACGCGTCCTTCTCTCACTGATGTCTCTTTCATTCTCCCAACAGTCAATCTTGACCGTTGATCACTAACAATAAATCTTGATTATCATCATTCAACGGCTCAGATCTCATTCTCCTGAACCTTGCTGCTCTTGCTGCGTATGTACAGGATCAGACCCCTCTCTTTCACCACTCGCTTCATCATCGTCTCTTCTCACGCGCTTCGCTCCAATGGAAACCCCGAATAATCTAGGACAAGGACACCCCTCATCTCCCTCCTCCTCCGCCTTCTCTCCGCCCTTACTTCCGCCACTTGCGGTGGCTCCGCCGCTAGAACCACCTCCGTGATCGGCCTCAACCGCTGTAATCGGCTTCGCCGGTAACAACTCCAACTGTCTTTCTTCCGGTAATCCGCTGGGTTCCGTTTGTCCCGTCGCGTAATTACTCATCATTGCCAATATGTTATTGCATAATCCTCTCAAATGGTTTAGTTCCTGCGATAGGGTTAGATTCTCTCGCCTCAATCGCTCATTCTCTTCTAGAATCTCCGTCGTCGTCGCGCCGCTCGCTACTCGCTGTAACGTCGTAGTGCCGGGAGCTGGAGATGAATTCGACGAGTGTACCTGCTCATCACCGGAGTTTGCCGGTGAAACTGCCCTAATCGCTACCGGAGGCGGCGCTACAACTGTCACTGCCGCCGGAACCGCCGTCGGACACGCAACCGCAGTCGTCGGAGAATTAATCGCCGGAGCCGGAGATATTTTCCGGCGTTGTATATCACGTAGAAGAGCTTTTTCACCTCTTTTGAAGCAGTCATTCGCAAACTCCCAACGGTCCGGTACAACTTTCCGAAAACCCTAAAATTCAAATCAAATCAAATTGATCGATTAATTCAATGAAAATAACGATAAAATTAGAGATAGTATATATTAGATCGAAATTTATTAGAGAAAATTACATAGGTATTGAGTTGCCGGACAAAGCTAGAGAAATTATTATGCTTAAAATATTTAGGAAGCAAATCACGAGCAAATTCAGCAGGACGCCAAACGATGAAACTGGATCCATCATCATTCCACGAAATCAAATCATCAACAGCAGGATCATCAACAAGCTGATAAGTTTTGGTGAGAAACGGAGTCGGAAGAGTACGTTGTTGCGAATCGCTAGCATTACCACTACCAGTAGCAGCACCACCTCCGCCGGCGGAATCGTCGTTTTGGTCCACCGGCATTGGATGCATGGCGTAAAATTGTAAAATAATATTCAGATCCAAAAAATATGGTGAAAATGAAAAGATTGGAATGGAAAGAGAAAGGGGAGAATGATGTATTGGGAGGAGAGAGAAAAGAAGGAAGGTGAGAGAAGGATAAAAGGGGGAAGAGGAAGGATAGGTTTGTTTGTTGGGGTTCTAGAAAGTTCGTGGTAAGGAGTTAAATGATGAGAGAGAAAGAGGGCGTGGGGTGTTCGAGAAGAGAGTGTGTTTGTGTTGTGGTGTGGTGGGGTTGGATGAGTTTCAAGCGGAAAGTGCGAGAAGCTGCGGATACGAATCACTACGTCTTTTCCAGAAACTTCATTTTTCTATCTTTGTGCATTCTTTTTTAAATTATTCTTTTTTTCTATTTTTAAATATATCATACTGTACTATACATACTTGTTCTAACTTCACATATACGAATACATAACTACATATTCCCTCTGTCCCTGAAATGACCCATTTTGTCTAATTTTAGTCCCAAAAAAATGACCTATTTGTTTTTCCCAACATCTATTCATTTCCCTTCCTTTTAAAAGTGTCAACTTGACAATCTTATGTATTTTATTATATGGGTTGTATAAAATAATATTTTAATCTTATTGACTAATAAAGCATTACATGGATTAATGCATTATTACCTCATGTTTATTAGGCATAGGATAAAGATAAAAACTTAGCTTACATCTAGGATTTTCTCTCTCTAGATATTAATTGCAAATTATTGCTCACTTGTGTTTTCCCATACATTTGTACTTACAAATTAAGGGATTGTTTGGTTACACAAAGAAAATGGAGGAAGTAAAAAAACATGGGAATTTGAAAATGGAGGAAGTAAAAAAACATAGGAAGTTGCATCGCACGGGCTTCATCTAGTATTTTTTAAAATGGAATTCCTTTTAGACTTCGCATATTTAAATATTTACAAATTCATGCTAGTTTATGCACCTATTGCATAATGCATGTAATATACCTTGCATGAAATCTTTCTCTATAAGAAATTTTATTCGACACTCAGAGAGCTCGATTAGTAACTTCATATTTTTATATTCTACAAATGAAGTAGAATAAATATTACTAATGTATGCCAGCCATAAATGATGAATAAAATCTTTACTTGGCTAATATGGCATGCAGTCATCTAATAGTCTTGCCCGGCCCTAGATGAATAAAATCTTTGCTTGGCTAATATGGCAGCCATCTAATGTATATCAAGATTATCAACTTTAATACATGCCTTTAAATATGTGAAAATATTATATATTTGTGGTTTGCAAATTCCTCTACTTCTGTAATTCTCTTTGTTACTAGTATTTTTCTAGCATGAAAAACTCACTCTTTTTCATAAAGTAGTCAATTGTTGAATGTTCTAGCGTCTACTTAAAATACCAGACTTTTAGGTGTTTAAAAGACTTATTTCTATGACCATCAATCTTATAATAAGTATTTTAGGGAAAGAATTTGAAACATAATTTTCTTTGTACTCCGTAATTTATAGGGCAACTGAGACATTTTCAAAACGTTTGTTCATTGTCATTCCATGTTAAAACAAATCTAAATCAAATATAACATACATCTGATTTTCAAAAGATTTATTTTTTCTTCTTAAAAAATGAATATTCCACATGTTTTGAGCCCATTGATGATTTTTTGCTCCATTGCAGGTTGCCATGTGCAGTTGTCTTTCTGCCCCAAATTTCCTATGCACATTTAATGTTCTTGTTGACACAGATTAATTATAATTTGAATTTGCTTGAAAACCAATTAGAGCGAGAGGGTGTGGATTATCGGTAAAGGCTACACATACAATTGTTGTATGTGGTCCCTACATACAACCACAATTTGTCATGTTTTTATTATCTCGAGGCTTTAGGGAGATGAATTAGAAAAAGAAAAGCATAAATTTAAGGATAGATAAATTATAAAAAATTATGACTTTGAGGATCGATCTTCTTAAAGTTGCGGTTAAAGAATACGACATAAAATTAAAGTTTTTGTCTTGTGTTAGGTTTAATGCATAAACCCTAGATAGCAAAAACTCATTAAATTTCAGTAACTCCAATATGATTTCTTTGAATAACGAGCCGTTTGTAGCCTTATAAAAGATCAAAGAATAGTCCTAAACTTTCTAAAAAAAAAACTTAAGAAAAAACCCTAATTTAGTTATTAGGAATTGAATTGAAAAACAACTCCTTAATCATGCATCTAGCACGATCTTAAATTTTTTTTTTTTTTTTTTAAATCCTTAAAAGTAGAGATATCACTTTCAAGTGAAAAGTAAAAACTTGTAAGATTAAAATCTAGACCCAGCTATATACTTAAAAAAAAACTTCATAGAAATCTCCCTACAGCTTAAAGTGCATTAAAGAGATCTGTCTATGGCTTGGAATTCAGATAGCTCGGGTTGGAATAGAGGTGGCATACGTGGAAGAAATGGAGAAGGGCTATGCACTTTATAGTGCAGCAACAAGCTAGCCTTGCAGTGCTTGCTGCTGTTACATACTTACTACATTTGAAAGACTGTGAATCATGCGCTTTGGCATAAAGCTATTATGCAACTTAATATAGCGGTCAAGTCTATCAAGTAGGAAATTTGTGGAAGATTCTAGCAATTAATCTCTCATAAATGGTTGAAAAATGAATATAAGTGGCTCCATAGCCTTAAGTGTAAAGTGTAGGGTCCTGGTTTAGTTGCTGGTTTGGCCCTTTTTTGGGTAGGTCCGTAGGTGTAGTTTGTAGTTGGTGTTTGTATGGTCGTTGTGGCCTCGTTTAGCCCTGGTACGGTGTGTTGTATGAAGGCTTGCCCTCCTCCTTTTTTTGGTAATAAAATTTCTTACCAAAAAGAAAAAGAAAAAGAAAAAGAAAAAAAAAAACCTTTTAAGAAATTTCCAAGAATTGTACTAGAAAGGAAACACAAGCATGCATGGAACGTTAATCATGCATGATGTTTTTGCATCATTTTTTTTGTGATTAGTGAGCCACATACGAGGATGATACGAATTAATCCCAAGATTTCTTGAAATTGGAAGAGAAACTCTGATTAACTGCACTTCCTCACTCCACACTGTATGTCAAGCTTCAATGGTTGCCCACATTGGAGCTTGAAGCTGGTTTGTGTTTCAAGTCTCATTTTGTTCACATGTGATTTATCATATTCATCACTAGAATTAAAACCTTCAAGATTTCATTCCTCTGAGAAAGAGGGTTTAGGTCTGTGTAGGGTGTGAGGTTTTAGAGAAGGTTTGTGCTTATATATGTGGCGTAGTTGGAAAAGTATGAAGCTGAAAGTAGTGAAAGGAGCTGCAGATACAAATGAGCCAAGTATTTTTCAAGATACAAATGAGCCAAGTATTTTTCAAGAAAATTTATTTTCCTAGCATTATGTATTCATTTCATTATTATTATTATTATTATGACAATCACCACTTTAGTTATATCAAATTGATTTGACATTCACGTAAGTATTGTATCTTTTATGGGCATTAATTTTTTTTTTTTTATATAGAATCGTGATATAAATAAATACATATTCTAAAATAGCTATTTTGAAAATATACAATATAATTGAAATGAAATTGATAACATCTTGAATGAGGGTCAAAAGTGAGAGATAATTCATGCTGACAGAGATGGTTAGTTGTAGATCAGTATTATAATATTATTATTCAAAACATGCAAAAAGTGTATAGTTTAGGAAATATCTTTTATTTATTTTATTTACTTCTAAAAAAAGTATGCGGTTATTTAACCTACGCATGCACCTAGCACACTGCACATATGTCAACAAAAACCTATGCATAAAACCTTCTTGACGAGAAAGTATATTGGTTTACTCTCAACGGCTCAACTAAGTAGTTATATCAATTCCCTATAAAAGAAAAAGTAATAATATCAATTATTTTAAAACCTGGATTTCATAGGGTTTTTTTTTTGGTTTTTTGGGTTGTTGTTTGAAAGAATGGCGTAGTAGGTTAAATACAGGGCTGACTAAGGGCCTGTGCAAACAGACCCTTAGCTCAGGGCCCCAAATTTCAAGGGCCCATTTGTGCTGAGCCTAGCTAGACCTGTTTAATGGGTTAGGGGCCCATTTAAAGTCCTAGTCCAGCTCTTTTATAAAAAGGTTTTGCCCGTCCAACATTTAAATGAGACGGGCTTTTATAGTGCTATTAAATAATGGGCTTGTAAAGGGTTGGGAGTCTAAGTTCTAACGTCATTTTAAAAATTCCCTATTTTCCCCAAATTATGAACCCTAAAAAAAAATCCCAAATTCTAAATCTTCTTGCTTGCCGCTCTCAATCGTGGATTCTATCATATCACTTCAATTACCATTGTTCGATTTCGCTCAATTCTGCTCGATCAGTTTGCTTGTTCATTTTGTTTGTCCGATTTCGCTCAATTATGCTCGATCACTGCAATTTATCACCTTCTGCTCAATTCTGCTCGATTTTCATTGTTAATTAGAAGATTAATGTAGTTTCCTATGCAATTTTCTCATTGAAATTGACTAATTTGATATATGATTGAGTCATAAACTTTACCGTTATAATATACAGATATATGCACTTATGCAGTTCTTCCATTGATTTGTTTTCTTACTTTGAGTTTTGGGTTCTCTGTTTCTGTAATTTTGCTGCTGTTTTGTAATTTTAGTGATTATGGTATATTTAGTAAGTTGTCATCTATTACTATATTAGTCTATTACCACAACTCCATAAGATATTCGTAGCCATATCAAGAAATATATAGTGAGGAGAGAGAAGAGATATCAAGGGTTAATGACTGTTATGATTTCATTTGCTATAAATACAAAATCAATCAAGTATATTATTTTTCATTCACATGATAAATACTTGGTATAATTCTATTGCTTTGTTGTTTGTAATCATAGTTTGTCAGCAGGTGATTATCAACATATAGCACAAATTTCTTCTTTAATCTATACAATATACTCATATTTCATAATTGTGATTAGCAGCTATATTCTTTTGTAATTATATATTTCTGCAATTTTAGTTTTCATGTTAATAATAATGGCAGTGGGTTAATAATTATTATTTACCTACTTTTGCAGTTTTTTTAACCATGGAAAGTGAAGCAACTACAATATTAATGCCGGTAGATGATGAGGTTGATGAATCTAATGCCACCCGTAAGCGTAAAAGGAGTAGGAAATCTAAAGTTTGGCGAGAAATGACGGAAGTAAATATATAGGTTGTCTGAAAGTTATCTTGTTCATATCTGCTGCTTGAGAACAATTTGTTGGCTAAGGCCCTTTTATAAGGTCCCTTAAAGGCACTTTATAATTCTCTTATATTGTGTCTACTTTATGGTTGTTTTGGATTGTTTATACATTTTAAGTAGGTCGGGCCGGGCTTAATGGCCCATAGACAATATCGGCCCATTTTGGATTAGGCTTGGACCGGCCCGGCCCGATCCATTCCAGAAAAAGCCCTGTCCGGCCCGACCCGTTGAACAGGTTTAAGCCCAGCCCTTAAGTAAAAA